TTGGTTTCGTTCGATTCCGCCCGTGAGTGAAGTCGTAGGGCCCTGTACACTCGAGGCCCCCCGTGTCACCCACCATGGCAAGAGTTCATTCTTTCTCACGGTCGAGCCGCGCTCCCCGGGGTACCGGCCGCCTCTCCTTCTCCTTTACCCAGCCAGCCACGCGTGGACATGTCGGCTGTTTGAGTAACGNTGGCAAGAGTTCATTCTTTCTCACGGTCGAGCCGCGCTCCCCGGGGTACCGGCCGCCTCTCCTTCTCCTTTACCCAGCCAGCCACGCGTGGACATGTCGGCTGGTGCCACGTCTCGGCTATTTGAGTAACANCAGCCAGCCACGCGTGGACATGTCGGCTGGTGCCACGTCTCGGCTGTTTGAGTAACGCTGCAGCGAACGTGGGAGTCCAGGTAGCATTTCAAATTAGGGTGTGTGCTGTCCCCAGATACTCGGAAGCGGAATGGCTGGATCAGATGGTAGTTCTGTCCTTAGTTTTTTCAGGACCCTCCCTACTGTTTTCCGCGGTAGCTGCACCGACTTACATCCCACTGAAAAGGGTTCCCTTTTCCCCGTGTCCTCTCCAGCACCCGTTATTTCTTGTCTTTTGATAATAGTCATTTTACAGGTGTCAAGTGGCTCACTGTGGTTTTGATCTGCATTTACCCAAAGGTTAGTAATTTTGGACATCTGTTCAACTGTCCCCATCCGTATGTCTTTGGGAAAATGTCTACTCAGCTTCTCTGCCCATTTTTTAATCAGGTTGGCTGTTTTTCTGTTGTTGAGTTGTATGAGCTCTTTCTATATTGCAGACATTAACCTCTGATGGGATGGACCATTTGCAAATATTGTCTCTTGTCCAGGAAGTCTGATAACAGTTTCCTTTTCTGTGCAGAAGCTTTTTCGTTTTATTTGGTCCCATTTGGTTATTTTGAAAGTCATTTTTTTTTAATACTTGCTTTTGGATCAATTTTTATTCTCGGTGGGGAAAGTCACCATTTACAAAGTACACTCTTTTGCATGGGATGTCTAGAAATCCAAGTTCATGTGTGATAGACATGTAGTCAGAGAGCAGGCACTCCCACAAAACTGCCAGGTCAGCAGGTGAAAGGACCCTGAGGTGAGTTTAAAGCGGTGTTACCTGTGGGTACGGGGACAGGTGTCCGTGCCCTCGGCCACTCGGGGGTTGGAGCGCCCAAAGGAGGCACGTTCCTCAGCCCGACACGCTGAACACGAGCCTGCACTGCCCCCGCCCCTGTGGCCGAGGAAGCCGGCGCCTGCGGGCCCAGTGTCCTCCCCCGGGCCGGTCCCGGTGAACTTGGGCCTGGTGATCTTTGCCACAGAGCAGCCCCGCCAGCCTCCCCGCAGGTGCCCCCGCTCGGAGCCCCTTCCCCTGCTGTAAAAATGGAAGCAGTCAAGTTCACTAAACGCATTTGGTTCAAAGGCAGAGAACTGCGCGTCTTGTTAAACGTTTGGGCCGCCCAGGGAAAGCCAGTCACCGATCATTTGCTCCTGTGAGCAAGGACAGTTGAACTAGCTTCAGACACTCTTCTTCTTTCCTTTTCATCCGAATAATGAAACCAACGCTGCAAATTCGGGCGAGCTCAGCGCTGTTGTCTCAGATGAACGGAAATGTCCCAGATTTGCCCCACAACCAAACTGGAGCTTCAAGTCATGATGTTTTATCAAGAGGAAGACAGTGAAACTGGCCTCTTCTCCCTCCTCAGATCCGCTCTGTTCCCCGAAGTGGACTCCAGGAGGGGAGGGCGTTGGAGCCCAGGACTGAGGACACTCGGAGGAGGCCGGCCCCCTGGAGGAGGGAGTGCAGTGGTGTGTGTCCCACTTCTTCCTCCCTTCCCCTTAGCGTCCCCCA